GACTTCTTATCGTGCTTGAGAACAATTCTCAAGTTCCGATACCAGTCTAAGAAGTTCGTCCCGGTCAGCTTATCCTTCTCAAGGATAGATCGCATTGTCAAACTCGGTACGCTACCGGTTGACGCCATTCCTACAAAAAAGACAAACAGAACATACAAAACAAATACAGATTCTATTAATGATCAACTACCAGCTAGCCCATCATCAATCAGTGTCTACATATCTATGATCTACTACCAGCTAGTCCATCATCAAACAATGATAACATAGATGAAAAATGAGCTATATTCGCATACAGAAAAATAACCCTATTATAATTTTCTATATGGGACTAAGATCCATATTTTGCATAAGAATGGATTGTTACACCCATCTTTATGCTATTTAGGTAGACATCTAATGTCGATCACATCCAATGTGACTCTTAGATCCTTTTATGAGACTATGATATCGAATATCATTGCATACTCGTCTCATCTGTACCATTAAGTCTCAAGTCAAACCTGACGACCTAACCTAAGGTAAACCATATTCAAGCTATGGGAACCACGATTTTCCACCCTGCCTCACAAAGATAATCCGGCACGCTCAGCTTTTGCATGACCCGTGTTACGGACGATCGATGTCTTGACAGGCGCTCTAGTAATGGGAGGTACACACTTAGCATTACATAAATAAGGGATTTTCGAAACCACACTTAGATCAAGCATCTACTTTCAAGTTATGAGAACCACCATTTTTCCATCTTGCCTCACCAAAATAATACGGCACACCCAGCTTTGGCATGGTCCATGACACGTACGATCGATGCCTTGACAAGTGCTTTACTCGTAGAGCTCCTAGATCTAACCGGTTTCTGTGCAACGATTGTTCATAATCCGAATGGACAATCCAATCGATTATGCAATCCCAATCCCGAAGCTCCCACTCAATCAAACATATATAATATCTTGATTAAATTACATACATTCATTCACTATGGACCATCCATAAGAAAGAATCATGTTATTCTGAATCACAGTTGATCGGTTTTAAGCAACGATTGCTCAAACCAGATCCCGAAATGCAAAATCAAATTTTGGTGAAGCGTCGGGTCCAAGACCGTTCGGTCTAGGCCTAGATCGATCGGTCTAGGTGGTTCGGTCTTCGGGTCATAGTCGGTTCGTTCGGTCTGGAATGGTCAATCCGTTCAGACTGACTCTTCAGTCCGTTCGGTCTGACTCTCCAGACCGTTCGGTCCAGACCAATGGTCCAGACTCTTGCCCCTTCGGACCTTCTCTCTCGGACTAGTGACCTAGATCGGACGGACTGGCTAAGCAGTCCGTTCGGTCTACACACCTTAGTCCGTTCGGTCCAACATCTTGGTCCGAACGGACTGGGTCATTTAGTCCAGAGAAAACGACGAATCCTAGACCGTCCGGTCCAGAGGACCAGACCGTTTGGTCTAGGTGGAAAAACGCGATCAGATCACGTTCTTCGTCGTTTCGGTCCCGATTCAGATCCGAATTCGACCCTGTTTTCGCCTGCGAACTCAGAACAGAAGCCTCTTGCACACTATGCAACAAAGAACATGAAATCTACCCTAGATCCATAATCAAATCATGCATAGCATCAAAGCAAATACGGATTCAAACAATTCAAATCCTATAACGTGCGTGATCGGGTTCTAACAAAAATCATGCAGAGAAACCAGGCTCTGATACCACTGTTGGTTTTCCTGGGATCTCTAGAGCGATCTAATTCCTAAGAGATCAGTTATAGGATTTGCGCAGCGGATGAAAAACAAAAATTTTGATGAAACCCTAAAACCTATCATGCATGATCTTGTAGAAACGTTAGAACGCTTACCTCAATCGATCCGGGGCCTGTTCCAATTGATGTGTTCGTCTGATCACTATAGACAAGAAGAATACCTTGCCCTCTACACGTATCAACACCTCGGGATGGATTCCAACCTTTGGAACTTGTCACGCGAAGTGACGGACGTGTGAGGCGCTCCTAGTCATGTTGACTTGACTAGGGTTAATAGCTAAACCCTATGGTGGACTCCATACATGTGTGTTTGCGATATAGTCATGTGTCACTACAAGAAAACAACAAAGGGTGACGCAATAGTGATGCAACCAAAAGTGTCACCATTCATACCGTCACCAATTCAGATTTCGTCACCAAGCGTCACCCTTTGGTGACGCAAAAAGATGACACAATTATTGCGTCACTAAAACGTATTTTGGATCCAAAAATATATTTTTTGATCCCGAATCTAATCATATACCCTAATCCCGACCTCTAACCTCCAACCGCGATTTTAAGCCGAATCGGAAATTCTGAAATTGAATCCCCGAAATCCACTTCCCAAGAGGTCACCCATCCTTCCACCACTTCAACTCAAGCACGCTTAACTTTAGAGTTTCAATTGATAAGCAACCAACTGTTCCAAGTTAAACTTCTGATACATTACAATATTAATACATATACATATACAAATATTTATACTTACAAATATATATACGTATATGTTGTACATATATACACATACATAAAATATATATTTATATATATAACATACGTTTGTATGTATAAATACATACATATATATATAAATACACGATTATATATATATTGATATGTATATATATAAATACACGATTGTTGGGAACACGATTATATATATATTCGTATATATCATGATATGTATAAATATATAATATATATGTATATATAAAATACATATTTATATATAAAATACTCGTATATTTGTATATACAAATACAAATACACATATATATATAATATATACGTATACATAAAATATACGTTTTATATATATATCCGTATATTTATACATACAAATACACATAAATATAATATACGTATATATAAAATTTATATTTATATGTAAATACTCGTATATTTATACGTACAAATACATACATACATATATATATGTATATATAAAAAAATATATATATATATATATATATATAAATATTTGTATGTTTATACGTATAAATAATAAAATATAGATAATTGCGTCACTAAAAGGTGACTAAATTGCGTCACCAATTCGTGATGCAAATTTTACGTCATTTTTCGCGTCACCTTTTAGTTACGCAACTATTTGCATCACTGTTGCATCACTATTTAGTGACGAAAATATTGTGTCACTATTTGCGTCACTTTTGCGTCGCCATTTTAGTGACGCAAATTTTTTGTATCACATTTTCTGTATTTTCTAGTAGTGTGTGATGTGACAGCCAACGTCATGGGAGGTGATGGACGTGTGAGGCGCTCCTAGTCATGTCGATTTGACTAGGATTTATGGTTAACTCTATGATGTGATATCATACGGGCATGATTGTGAATGATGTGATATATTGACATGTTGTTATTACTTGTATATTCGTTGTATCACCGTTCTCGTTGGGAATAGAATGACTGGGATCAACCCGGACTACTCATTAAACAGTTGTGCTTAGCCTCGTGGGTTTATCTTTTTCAGATCATGAGGAGTACGAGTAGCGAAGTAGGGCGGTGACGACTTGAGAGAAACAACATCATGTACGGGTTTTATATTTGAACTATATATGGGACTTGTATTCCCACATCTTTTACGGTTGTATTAATTATTATTCGTACATGTGTGGTTTTACGACGTTAATTGCGTGATGTATTCTCGCTGCTTACTCTGTTTTAAAAATGTTTTTGGATTTCGTATTTTTGCTTCCGTATTATTTTATTATTTTTCTCGGTTTTTGACCATGTGGCCCAGTCTGTATACTGTGTACGGGTTACGGGTGTCACAGTTACAACCTACGTCGCTTAGAAATCAGATGATAGATCATCAAGAGATTTGTCAATCCAAAGATTCAAAAAACACTGCACAATCTTTGATAAAATCCAATCGAAATCGGATATAGATTAAAGAGACATATATATCTGGCAGCGAGAATTTCCACGAAATGCATACTTTAGAGAGGATGGAAGAAACGAGATCGTCAGGTCGTGTACAAAGCTCTGCGTTTGGTATCGAGACCGAATTGACGACGAGGAGTCTCAATCTTCTCCTATTATGCGAATCACACTTGAATGGAATGGTCACTGAGAATGGAATAACTCTTTGGTTCGATGAATGGATCCGAGTTCAGAGTTCGGAGTTCTAGGAAGGACGACGAGATTGTGAGAGAAGAAATAGCGGACGCCATTGTTGTTGTTTGGGAGAGAGGGGAAGACTGTTTAGGCGATGAGAGATCAAAACTGAGTTCGTTTGATCATTGGAACTGAGGTAATAAGGACTAAAACACTCTATCACCATTGGAGTAGAAGAAGCCATGGTCGCCATTGCACTAGAAAAACACCGAGAATTTTCTCGGGAAAAAGAGCACCGAGAATTTTCTCGGGAAAATCAAAGAGAAGAACGATATTTCAATCGAAAAACTTAAGAGAGTTCTGATACCATTTTCCGATTGTAGAAACAGAAACAGAGCAATGAGAAAAAGAACTGATAATTTTATTATTGATTAATGGTTTATATGGGTTTGTCTGTACAACACTGTAACTGATTCTAACTAACAAATGAATCTCGCCACAATTCCGAGTGCATTCGAACAAATGACGTGGCATGAGTGTTAATAAGACGATTATCACAACTTGATGGTGGCACATCAGATTTAGGAATCGGGGGTGGCCCCTCACGATATGCAAGCAGAATTGGGAACAACCACGTGGATAGATGTTTTCCTCTTGCGTTATCTCTGTACAGATTTGAAAAATGGAAAAACTTGTGCATTTTTCTTTTACCTAATAAATGTTCCGCTAACCATCCGGTAGTAATAATTCAAATATAATTATATTTAACATAAATATCAATTAAAAACAATAAATTATATTTAAGGGGTGATGAATTGGAGTATTATCCAAAATACCCTCCTTTTACTAAAACTACTTCTCCACATATCTTTCTCTAGTTGTGACCTTGTGACCAGAAATCAGGTATGGTCACATGATGGTCACATTGGTCATAACGTTAAATTTATAGTGATTAGATCAAATCACCATGGTCACACCTTACATATCACACTAATCATTTGGTAAAATCATCAAAAATTTAACGTTGTGATCAATGTGACCATCATGTGACCATACAATTATTCTGGTCACAAAGTCACAATTGGAGAAAGGTATGTGTGGAAGAACTTTTAGCATAAAGAGGGTATTTTGGATATTTTGCCTGATGAGTTATATGTAAATTTTAATGAAAATAATATAGTGATTTTTATAAGTTATCGAAGATTTTTAAAATTGATTGGTAAATATTATAATAGTTTACAGCCGTATCAAACATTGATAATTTAAGATGGTTTAACGAAATATCGTCTAATAAATCTAATCCCTATAAACAATTTAACAATGATTTTTTTTTAAGTAGTCATATTTATTTTTATTTATATTTTATCTCGTTGATCATCCATACCTCATTTCAAATTATTACATTCTATATTTGTTTGTACATTTTTTTTTAAAAAAATACCTAAAACTTTTTGAGCTTGTAATTTGGTGTAATATTAATTCACGAACTTGTACGTACGCCTATTTATTTCCGAATTTGTATTTTTTAACACAATATTTCATAAACTTGCTTAACAGTTTTATAATCGTCCATAATACTAATTGACCAAAACAAATTTTAGAAATTATTGTATTAAAAAATGCAAGTCTAGAAATTATTGTATTTAAAAATAAAAGTTCAGGAATTATTGTGTTCAAAAATACAAATTCAGAAATAAATAGGCACACTTATAAATTTAGAAATTAATATTATACCAAATTATAAATTAAAAAATTTTCAGATATTTTTAATTTTTTAATAATGGTAACTTTAAAAAAATCTAAATCAAGGAAAAATAAAAATGAAATTCAATGTCTATTAATGATTAGGGTCAAAGTTTGATGGCTAAGTAGAAACTCCACCTTTTTTAAATGTTAAAGGGAATTAAATTTTTATTTAAGAAAAAAAAGATGAGGAAGATTCTAATGAAACTTTTAGTTTATTTATTTATTTATTTTACTTGAATATTTTCAATCTGTATTATATATTTTGAAATTTTTATCTAGTATAAATACTACGAATAATAATAAATAATATTCAAATCTTTAAAATATTGGAAACTAATATATCATTACTACGAATATAAAATGATTATATTCTTATAAATCAATTTTATTGAGAGAACTGTAAATTAAATTTAATTGGATATATAATGGTCGCGTAGGATATTGAGCTTTGATCTAAAATAAAAGAAAGAAAATCCATGAAAAATATTATACTTCCAATACATTTTCTATTTTATAGATTGAACCCCATAGTCTTCCGATTCTTCAACAACTGCCCCCGAAATTGTTTCTGTTAAACTGACCCCAACAACTTCACTTCAATGGAGCGAGGAAAGAGCTGAAGTCTCTTCTTCATCTGCTTCCGCCGGAATCTACAAGCCTCGCCGTCGAAGGATCCATCGCTGTCGCCTGAAAATGGAAACGCCTCCTCAGATTCGGCTTATCTTCGCCGTCTCCGTTTCCGCTCTCATCGCCTTCCGATCATACAAGCGGAAGTCTCTCGACCTCTCCGGTGCACTCGCCGGATTCATCGTCATGACCATCCACTTCGCCGCCGGTTTAAGGTTTCCAGTCTCGGAGCTGTCATCTTCTCCGCATTTGGTTTGATGATTGGTTTGTCATTTGTCTTTGGGTTTGACTTCGATCGAATGGTTTTGTGCGAATTTGGAAGGTACGGAGCTCTTCTGCTCGTCTTCTTTCTTTCTTCGTCGAAGCTCACCAAGGTTGGAGAAGAGAAGAAACGACGCGTTGATGCTGATTTCAAGGAAGGTGGACAACGAAATTGGTATAATTTTCACATAACCCAGATTTTGTCAAGAGATTTTTTGCTTGGTTTTGTGGGTTGCAACTGTGAAATTTGTGGCTTGTGGGTGTTTGCAGTTTTTGTATATATATGTTTACTGGAGAGTTACCACATAACATCTCCTGTTTCTGTGGAATTATGTTATGACTAGTTTGTCACAGTGACAGGAACCTGGTGTTTCAAATTCAGGATGCATACAGAATAAAACTTTTGCTCTCTTTGAATTTGTGTGTTTGTTTTTGGGTTTAGGGTTTTATCAGACCGATAATTTCTTGAGCAAACTCTTTGTGAAAGTTTGGTTTTGATGTCAATCTAGTTTGGGCTGAACTTGTTTGTGTCATCTGAAAGGATGTATAGATCATGAATCCTTTATATCTTCCATCAAAGAAATACTAGTTTTGAGAAATGGAACTCTATAGCATTTGAGAGTGTAGAAATGCCTCTCCATAGCTCGAAAAGCAAATAGTTTCGCTTGCAACATCTTCTCGGTGCCATGAACTTTGTTTTATGTAGGGTTTATCCTCTTGGATTTGTTGGGTCTTAAGTGTGAGTAGAGTTACTTCCTTAGTTTCTAATGTTTTTCGTTACTAGCTTAATAACGAGAAAAGGCATAATTGTGGAAAATGTGCCTTGTTTTTCGTTTTCTTTTCTTTTGTTTGTTTCGATTTCTTCTTGTTGAGTATGTGTGATTGTTTTGAACAAGCAGATACAAATCATTATACTTATTTGATTTTTGCATGTTGATGTTGAAAAGATTTGCAAGTTTGGCTAGAACGGTTCTCCTTCGGAAGTTATTGTTTACTTGCCAAGCAACCAATTACTGTTGATCGGTAACCACAGAAATTTCTCGTTGCAGGGTACAGGTGATGTGTAATGGTGGGATTGCATCTGTTCTAGTTGGAATTTTGTCAACATTGACCGGATGGCAGGATAAGTGTTTAGACTCGAAAGAGTCTGCCATTGCCACAGCTCTTATTGGCGGGATCATTGGTCATTATGCTTGTACTAATGGAGATACTTGGTCCTCAGAGCTCGGTGTTCTTAGTGATGCACAGCCTCGGCTAATCACAACATTGAAGGTTTTTGCTCTGCTTACAATTTTTTGAAGCTCAGAACTATGAATTACTTCAAGTTGATTATTCTTGACGGAATAGTGAGAGACCGAGTAGGAGAGATGGTAAATTTCCTAGCTTTTAAAGGCTATCACTTTCGTAAGGGGAGAAAATCAGTCTCGAGATTTCCTTATTTCCCTCTCATGTTTCTAGTGAATTTTAAACCATTGCTTTGTTTGTTTCCTCTGGATCGAACAAGCAGAGTGTATTTCTAGATCTCTTATTATCTTACATCTGCTGCATAGTTTTGGTCTATTTGCCTCGAACCCATTTGATCATTTCTAATCAAGTTTCATTTTATTTTTTTTTACATTCTCCTCAGCCGGTTAAGAAGGGCACAAATGGTGGAGTTACGAAAGCCGGGCTTTTAGCTGCCATAGCAGCAGGAAGCGTTGTCGGATTAGCATTCCTCATATTCGGTCTTTTCACCACAAGATGCGAAATCAAAGTGGCTCTCAAGCAACTCTTAGTCCTTCCGATCTCAGCCCTTGCTGGATTGTGTGGAAGCTTGATAGATTCCGTTCTTGGAGCAACGGTACAATTCAGCGGCTTCTGTTCCGTTCGGAACAAGGTAAGGATTAATAGAAAAAAGAAGAAAAAGAAAAAGACAGAAACCTTAGAAGCTTCAACGAAACCCCATAGTCTTCCGATTCTTCAACAACTGCCCCCGAAATTGTTTCTGTTAAACTGACCCCAACAACTTCACTTCAATGGAGCGAGGAAAGAGCTGAAGTCTCTTCTTCATCTGCTTCCGCCGGAATCTACAAGCCTCGCCGTCGAAGAACTGTCGACGGGGCCAACGGTGAGGAAGATATCAGGTTTGGATATTTTGGATAACAATGGCGTGAACTTCGTCTCAGTGCTCTTGACCTCCTTCCTCACTTCTCTTGCTTGTGTTTGCGTTTTCTGAATCCTTCCCTTCTTGGAACTTGCCAGAGTTCATATGAACTCTTTGGAGTGGATTCTTTCTTTATAAAACCATTCTGATTTTAATTTTCTCTAGTAACCGCAAAATCATAAATAGTTATTTACAAGTTATAAGCGAATCATTCTGTAGCCGTAACCAAATCTTAACAAATTTGTTTTGTTTCATAATAAGACAAACATCAATCATTTTTAATTTCAAGCGCTAGTCTTTATGTGCTAAACAAGTTGCACTTTGCACGTTTTTATATTAGTTTCTCATTCTCATTTTTTTACTTTGATTTTCTTATAGTTAATATTCAAAAAGTTACATGTAGTTCAACATGTAACTCTGATTTTGTTACGATTACATTACGACTCTATTTTAAAACCATCCATTTGTATTTCACTACGTTGATAGTTTTTCAACATACTCTTTAAATTCAAAGACGTTAAAAATTTCATACATTACTCCTCAAACCTTGAAACCTTAAAACATTAAACAACACACCTTATATCAATTAATTTCGACTTCAAACATGAAAAATGTTTGAACTGTCTGAATTTAAATGTTGAATAATGTGTGAATTTGGAAGTTTTATTTATAACAAGTCATATTTTTTTATTATTTTATCGCGTATAAATTACAACAAGTGACAAAAATATCGCAATTTAGTAGTTTCGAAGTTACAAGAAGTTCGCAACCACAAATTTTGTCACACTTGTTCAAAATAAAAATTCTAAACATCATGAAATAATAACAAAATAAAAAAAAAAAACTTTAGGTTTGGAGTAGGAGGGTATAACCTAAGCAGCTACTTGGTTCTGGTGTGTCAAATGGAGGTGCAGTCATAGAAAAGGATGTCCTGTCCGAAAAAGAAGAACCGATATGTTTCTCACCACTTGTTTTACTATCCCAGCATAGAAGAATCATCAGAAGATATATTTGTATTGAATGATGCAAATAACTAAGATATTTGTACACAACTGGAGTGGGGTATACAGATGGCAAATTCAGATGTGTGCTCGGCACATCCGAGAGGGAAACACACAAACATCTATTCTTCCAATGTACCTTCAGCAATCATCAACGATTCACTGTCTACAGACCTACACGGATGTTTACCCTAGATGATGAAAAAAAAAAGGCAAAACCACTTTTGTCAAAAAGTGGTGGCAATGGAGGCTGAAGAAAGGCGGTGCCCTTTGCCTATATAAGGCGATGGTACGAGCCCCGGTAAATCATCCCAAACCAAGAGCAAACACACAGGGTAAAGAGAGAGTAAAAGAAATAAAGGGAGAGTAAAAAAAAATATGGTTCTCTTATTTTTTCGGGTTTTTTCTCTTCATTTCTGAGTGTTTATTTTCTCCTATATTAGAGAGAATTATTCTTGTATGCTCCTTATAATAGAGAGAAATATTATAATTCTTTGACAGTCAGTATAAATCCTTCTACCGTTCGCCCGTGGATGTAGGCACTCTGTCGAACCACGTAAATTCTCGATGTCCCATTATTTATTTTTCTCATTTCAATTTAATTGCCTAATAGTGATTTATCCACGTCCGATCCTAACAGTGGTATCAGAGTGCTGGTTTTCAACTGGTTGTTCAGAAAAACCCGTTGGATTAAACTTTGGTATAGATATTGCAAAATGGCAACTAAGTATGAGATAAAGAAGTTTGGCAAAAATAATTTCTCGACATGGAAGACAAAAATGAGGGCAGTTTTAATGAAAGAGAATTGTTTGGCGGCTATCAGAGATGGACCAGATGAGATGAGCGATGAGCAATGGAACGAACAAAATAAACGAAAGTGCCATTACAAGTCTACATCTAGGTCTTGCCGATTTTATCTTGAAGGCGTAGAAGAGTTGGAGACTGCAAAGGAGATTTGGGAGGCTATGATGAAATTGTACGAGACGAAGTTAATTCACAACAAGATTTTCTTGAAGAGAAAGCTCTACACCATGAGGATGTCAAAATCAACTGGTAAGACGGGACACATCAGTGCTTTGAATGCACTATTTTCAAAACTCTCGAAGATGGGTTACAAAATAGATGTGAAGGAGCGTGATTAAATCCTACTCCAAAGTCTACCACTTTCATATGATTCACTCATCGTCAACATGACCAGTAATACCCTCACAAACTATTTAGTCTTTGATGATGTTGCAACTACTGTTCTGGAAGAAGAACTGAGGCGCAAAAACAAGCAAGACATGTTGGTAGGCTCGCAGCAAGCAGAGGCCTTGGCAATGGTGAGAAAAAAATCAATGGAACATGCATGGCTTCAGTGGGAGTCAGAATGCTGAAAAGTCAGGAAGTAAGAAAAAAATCAAATGTTATCACTGTGGTAAGAAAGGTCATACTAAGAAGCAATGTTGGCACCTCAAGAAGGGTAATGAGAATAAAGGAGCAAATTCGCAAGGAAATATTGCAAGTACCTCGAATGGAGAGATTTTGTACAGCGAGGTGACAACTATCACTGAAGGCTGACATAAATTTTCTGATGTCTGGCTTCTGGACTCAGGAGCTACATGGCACATGACCTCACGGAGAGAATGGTTCCACCAATATGAACCTATCTCAGAAGGATCTGTATACATGGAAAATGACCATGCCTTGGGGATCGCTGGCATTGGTACCATTAAGGTAAAGATGGACGACGGTGTAATCCGCACCATTCAAGGGGTATGGTACGTGAAAGGCTTGAAGAAAAATCTATTGTCAGTTGGACAATTAGATGATGTTAGGTGCAAAAAACGTATAGAGAATGGGATCATGACCATTGTCAAAGATGCGTTTGTAGTGATGAAAGTGGAAAAGGTGGCAGCAAATCTGTACATGCTTAAAGGAGAGAATACGGGAAGGAGAAGCAAGTGTCGTAGAATCAAGATCAGCAGAAGAATCGATGATGTTATGGCACAAAACGCTTGGTCACATGTCGGAACGAGGCTTAAAGATCTGGCAGAACGAGATCTTCTCTTGGGGCTCTAAAAGGTGGCATACCATTTTATGAGCATTGTGTTACAAGTAAACAACACAAATTGAAGTTTAGTAGTTCAACTGCTCTAAGCAAGACTATCCTGGACTTGGTTTATTCTAATGTTTGGTAGGTACCAGTGACGCCCTTAGGAAGTGCAAGATACTTTGTATCTTTCACTGACGATAACTCCAGAAGATGTTGGGTGTACCCCATCAAGAAGAAGTCAAATATATTTGAAGCTTTCAAAATCTTCAAATCGTGTGTTGAGCTTGAATATGGAAAGAAGATCAAGTGTTTAAGATCAAACAATGGAGGAGAATATACTGGCGATGAATTCAACCGATTCTGTCAACAAGAAAGCATCAAGAGGCAGTTCAGGGTAGCTTACACACCACAACAAAATGGTGTAGTAGAGCGGATGAACGGAACCTTGTTAGAAAGAACAAGGACAATGTTGAGAGCTGCAGGATTGGCCAACATGTTTTGGGCTGAAGCAGTCATGACCACCTGTTATGTGATCAATCAGTCTCCATCAACCGCAATTGATCTGAAGACACCAATAAAGATGTGGACAGAAAAACCAGTAGATTATTCTCACCTCCATATGTTTGGGAGTACGGTCTATGCGATGTACAATGCCCAAGAAACAACTCAACTAGATCCAAAATCTAGAAAGTGTGTTTTTTAGGGTATGCTGATGGAGTCAAGGGGTATCGTCTGTGGGATCCTACTGCCCACAAGGTATCAACAGAGACATCGTATTTGTAGAAGGAAATGTGGAAAATGATAGCACGTCAAAGGAAAAGCCAGAGACTGTGATAGTCAATGTTGAAGATTGAGGGGAACATCAAGTTCCAAATTCTTCTAAAGATTTATGATGTCGAAAATCTAGGTGTAGAAATATGAATCAAGTGATAATTAACCTAGACTCAACAAATACTGCAAGTATACGGATCGATTGTAGTAGTTAGGGTCGAACACATGGACAAATAAACAACGGAATAAAATCCAAATCCAAGTCTAAATCCAGAGAAAATAATATGAGTATAAGAGTGTAGCAAAGCAAATAATAAAAATGGTTGTACTGCCGCAGACCAAATGACCTGCTGCAGACTGCAGGTCATTTGCGGTATATCATAGGTCATCTGCTAGACTGTAGGTCATTTAACGCATAACGCATGTCATATTTCACAGATCACAGGTCATCTGCCGCAGTTTTCTGTTACAGACATTTAATCAAACATCTTATGTGCATACAAAAAAATGATCAGAATATCACATGAAAAAAAATCAACGAGAAGAGTATTTGAATAGATTAGATAAACTATATAAGAAATAGATGAGATAGAGAAAATATTGGAGAAAAAAGAAGATCAAATAACAAAACTTACCGATTTTTAAAAGTTAGATTATCACACAATCGTAGAGAAATACTGTGAATGGTAGTTTGGATATTTAGAAAAAAAAAGTATAGTATGCAAAAGCTATTTTTTGTGAGATATTTTGTAAATTTCATTTTTGTTTGGATATATTTTGTCAACTGCCAATATTTTTTAAAATAAAGAAATTGATTGTTTCTTCGTTTCATCGCTGAAAGATTTTTTTCTTTTGTTGATATGTAATCGAATTTTTAGTTATGTTTGTGTGCTAACTGTTCATTCTTTATAGACTTAGAATCATCTTCTCAATTCATTTTGCTTCTATTATCTCTTATTCGCAAAGTTACTGCTCTCTAAGTTATTTAGATCAGAACCAAGTGTTTGTGGCCGGATGGTTAGAGTGTTGTCCCAAGGGACTTCACATCTAGGGTTCTAATCTCGCACATGGGGAGAGAGGCTAATTACGGCTAAAGGCCGTAATTTGAAAACGGCTGTTCCCGGATCTGGGGAGACGTAGGTTGGGGCAAAGGTTCAGGTGAACTCTCGAATTACCAAAAAAAAAAAGTTATTTAGATTAGAGTATTTTTTAATTTTAAAATATTTTATATTTGTAATTCACATAAAATAATATATGAACCTCTGTGTTGGGATATAATAATACAACCTCTTCGAAAATATATTTTTTTCTTTGGTAAAAGTTCAACCAAAGTTCAAAGAATGTATAATTAGTGGTTACAAGAGGACAAATTTAGCAGTAAAGGATTTGAAATATCTGCACTCACTATATTATATTAATTATTATATGGAACGATAAGTATAATAATGCATGGCGTGACATTGTGGTCCAAAGTGGAACTGTATGTGTAAGTGCACTATTAGACAATTGTGATCTTACGTTTCAAAACACGAACCAACTTGGAATTTGGCAGCACAGGATTTGAGCTCATTTTGTTTATTTTCATTAAAAATACTTGTATTTAAAAAAAATCGTTTTGGTTTGATTTTTATTTTTCATATTGGTTCCGTATATTAAGTTATTTTTGTTTTAGAAAAAAATTACACCTTTTCATTTTTTTTAGATCATATTGGATTGGGATATGATTATGTGTTAATATATCCATCCATAATTCTAATGCCGCGGTATCGTTTCGTAAAAATTTATTAAATAATTCGTACATTCCAAGTACAATCGATGCATTTGAAATAAGGTACAACGACCCAGGACCTCACACACCAACACAAGATATTTCAGCGTGTTTTGTCCTCATTCACACGTATACTGAGACACGTCTCAATAGATCACCAATCCTTATATTGGTCTAGAGTTAGCACATTTAATTTTGGAGTTCTCTCAGATAGTCAATCAAAAAGGTAAGTGCACCCTATTACTCTGAATAGTCTCACTAATTCTTTTATCGTATCTTAAACTGTATAATCTCATATCTATACAGCCTTCAAATCTCTCTCATTACGGTGCATTCGATTCATTCATCTATCCCTTTGTTCTTAGTCCTTAGTGATACTCGGAGAGCCGTTCATGTGTCATCTGCACCGGCAAACACTTGTAACCATGATCATAACTTGGGATATCACCATATATTAACACTTAAAAAACAAAAACAAAATCCAATTTTTAGTGGGTTTCAATGTATAAAGCAAAACATTCACCATCCAAATGTACCACGAAGAGGGATATTTGTGAAATAATCATATTCTTAATTAAAATAATGCAATCCGATAACTATGAACAATGAAGCTGTGACAATGTAGACCTAGCACTAATCACACCATGGTATTCTAATATCGAGCTTAATGAAATATATTCTCTGAAGAATTATAAGAAAACAACCTTCAATGCCGCCGTACGTAACCACGCACTAATGCAATTTCCTAATCGTCATTAATCACATATCGTATCGAATTCTTTTCCTATAAATAGGTCTCAAAGATTATAAATCTGTATTCCACAAGGTATCTCATTCCCTTAAGCAAATTAACCATAGCTAAAACCAACCATGCAGAAGCAAGCTAAACTCTTGTTTGGTGTCGTAACACTGTTTGTTTTATGTTTAGGGGGCAGGGCACAGCTAAACCCTTATTTTTACGCTCAGTCGTGTCCGAATCTCTTCCAAGTTGTCCGGAAACAAGTCATGACTGCCCTCAAAGCCGAGATTCGAATGGCCGCTTCCCTCATTCGCCTCCATTTCCACGACTGTTTCGTTAACGTATGCACTGTTATTTCATAACCTAAGTCGTAAATTTGTCTACGTAGAGAATGCATGGCATCTTCTTAAAACGTGGGAGTAATTAACGTTTTCAGGGTTGCGATGCATCGATATTGCTTGATGGAAACAATGGAGAGAAATTCGCGATTCCAAACGTGAATTCGGCTAGAGGATATGAAGTGATCGATAGTATCAAAACCGCTGTTGAAAACGCTTGTCCTGGCGTTGTATCTTGTGCCGACATTCTCGCGATAGCTGCTCGGGACTCGGTCCTATTGGTAAGTATATATACGTTTTCAACACTTGGTGAAACCCTAAAATCGCTTTGATCTCGAGGGTTAAAGCGATACAATTTTTTGGAAACGAAACCGGGTTTTGACTGGCAGAGTGGAGGGCCTTCATGGAGAGTGCCGTTGGGAAGAAGAGATGGATTGGTCGCAAACCAAAGCAGTGCAAACAATCTTCCATCTCCCTTTGATCCCTTAGATGTTCTTATTTCCAAGTTTCAAGCCGTTGGACTTAACATTACCGACGTTGTTGCTTTATCAGGTTTTCTCATTTCTCACTTCTACATACTTATTAACACAAAACCCTAACTATACCACCTTAAAAGACGGGGTTGTGCACGGTCCGGATACCCGATATTTTGAGGATTACCCGAATCCGAATCCAAATATCTCTCTGTCTCATTAGATAATCTAGATCGAATCCGTTTTGATCAGATATATATATATATATATGCACGTTATCCGAGTTTACATATAAAAATTCCATTTTTTTGGAATAAATATCAAGTATTAGAAATTAGTACGAGTATCGAGTTTTGTATTATCCCAATCCAAATCTAAAAATTTAAGATAGCATACGAAAACCAATACTCGACGAAGAAATTTAACTACTGTGAAACTTAACGAACATTTTGATTTGAAGGAGCACACACATTCGGACAAGCAAAGTGTGATCTCTTCAGCAACAGGCTCTTCAACTTCTCCGGCACTGGAGCTCCGGACACAACCCTCGAGACTACAGTGTTGTCCGATCTACAAAGCTTCTGTCCGGTGGGTGGCAACGGGAACCGCACAACTTCGCTGGATCGAAACTCGACGGATCTTTTCGACAACCATTACTTCAAGAACATTCTGGAAGGAAAAGGGCTTCTGAGCTCTGATCAAATTCTCTTCTCCAGTGACTTAGCCACGAACACAACTAAGAGCCTTGTTGTGGCTTACGGTTCCAACCAAACCTTGTTCTTTATGGATTTCACGAGCTCCATGGTCAGAATGGGGAATATTATGAATCCTGTAAATGAATCAAATGGGGAGATTAGGAAAAATTGTAGGGTCATTAATAACTCGTCTTGAACTTTTTCACGCTATCTTCTTAAGTTCATCAATCGACGTCTTGCAGTTTGATGGTATGGTTAGTAGTGTGTAATAATAATAAAAATAATAAGATGGGTGTTTGGGTCTTTTCTGTGATTCTATTCGATCAATGTTTGGAATAATATTTAAATAGCATATTCGTATAAATTAAATAAAAATTCGAACTCAGCTGGAGTAAAATATCAGTTACTCCAATACGAATCTTAATAATGGAAAATCGATTTCAAACTTGTTTTTTTTCGGGTGGAGGTCTCTAATTAATAAAAAAATTTCTACTTGTAATTGAAAAAAAATAAAAAGTTGAATCTAAATTCTTAATTATTCCAATTATATTTATTTCGTCCCTAATTCGAACATCAAATTTTTCCTAAAATGATATATAAATTCGAACATCAAATTTTTCCTAAAATGATATATAATTTAAATTACATTGTTTATTTCCGACCTCCATACTAATGTGGGCGTTGTACAAAACAAAATATTACAATTATATATGCTTAAAAAAAGTTTTACTAACTGAAATTTTACTTATCTGGTTTTTTTATAGTTTATATATATGTATAGTATTTATTTATGATATAAAAAAATTATCTTAAAATAATTATATGTAAACACTAACTGAAATAGAACGCGTGCCTTCCTCCCATTAACCAAATGGATCACACCCCTGTCTACAAATGGTATGGCATGTCCGTACCAAAGGTGCCAATGCAATCCACACGACTAGACATGAGACTCGGTGGACATGTCATTCGGGTTTACGAACATGAATCGAAGGGCTGAACAGTCATAATCAGATATTATAGACAAAACATCAACATCATCTTAATCCCATAATTCTAAGACAACGGGAGGATCAAATTAACCGAGAATGTTTTATAAAAACTCAGGCAAGAACATTGCTCAAGTTCAAGAAAAATTGTCATCACATCCAAAGGGGGAGTATGCCAATCTCAACACCACATACTAACCAGACACAAGTATTGTGACACCAACAAAACTTGAGGATATCATAACAACCGAAGAAGCCAACGATTCTAAGCAGCACCCTTGCCCTTCTTCTTCTGGATCTTCTTCATGTAGAACTCCAGCTCTTTGCCCTCCAAAATGTATCTGCAGACAGACCGTAAACAATCTTATAAATTCTCCTAAGGAGAATGTGGTGAGCAAAGCAAGAGATGAAACATACCCATCAGCCCGACCGCATTGCCCAGGCCTTGATGAGATACATGCGAGCAACCGACCGCTCGCGAATTGGTCCTCAATGTGTGAGTCAAGAGCACGGTTCTTTTGGCGCTTCTCTAGCTTCCTCAGCACGTGGTTGCTCTTCTTTGTCTCCTCAGGAGCAGCAGCACCATCTTCACCTTCCTAGAGTAAAACACACACAAGCCCAAACACAAAATGATCACCTAGCATTCAGCAACCAGGACAACAAATTTACGCTAGGAGACCTCTCATGGCAGACTAGGATTGCATTCCTCCTATAATCTCACCAATCTCACAATCATATGTAAACAATATTGAGAGCGTAACAGATAAAATTACAGTAAGTACCACTAAACAAGAAACAGTTCTCACCTCTCCTTCTTTCTTGCCAGAAGTAGCTGGAGTCTTTTTCTTGCGGCCAATCTCAACACCGTAATGTTGGAGATACCATTGCTTGAAGGGCGCAGCATCAACCTGAACTATGGCACTCTTGACTAGTGTCTTGGTACGAACAAGCTCGTTGTTCGATGCATTGTACACAACATCGAGGATCCTGGTCTTGCGGGTGACGGCCTCGCTTCCCCAAGAGTAATTCCCAGTGTCAAGCCTCAGCGCACGCCACTTGACGTTCCCTCCACGAACCCTAACCCTCCTTACAGTCTTGTTACTGGAAAGCTTGGTGTTTGCTGCAACTCTTCCGAGCTCATACCTTTCATCACACAAACCAGATATTACACGACCCAGTTGCTTAAAATATCGAAAACAGAAGATATAAAAATCAGCCTTTTATAAAAAACGAATGTGACCATTTGTAAATCAACTGAAATTTGACCAGTATCAATAACATCACCAGAAAAACTGTTCCAACGAGAGGTACAAGACACATTTATGGGTAACCACTATCTCAGCTTCCACGATTCAGAAACAGATTTTGTGCCATACAGAAGCAGCGAAAAGAAAACTCACTTTCGCTTTTTCCTCCATTGCTTCTGCTTCCCACCAGTCGCACGCCTCTTGTGGATCGAATCACGAGAGATACCTAACAAAAACCAGATTCCAACTCAGATTTCGCTAACACAAAAGAACCGGAAGATATAATTTCAGAAGAATGAAGAAACTCAGAAGAAAATTCGGCGAACATACCCATCGCCGCAACAGGAGATTTCTAGGGTTTCTTCTCCCTCCCTGCAGTCGCCGAGTTTTACACCAGCAGACGGAAGAAAGCTCTCTGGTTAGTATTTAAAAGCAAAACCCTAGTAGCTTCAATTCGTAATTTACCCAATTACCCTTCACATGATGGGCTCATATATAAAGTTAGGCCCATAGCTTTTAGTCACATAATTTGGGCCCACGATGAAGTTCACATTAAAATAATAAGTTTTCCCTACATTTAGTTTGTTTTTGTTTTGATCTTGATTTAAATCACGAAAAAAAAAATCCATTTGGATCAACATATTATTAAGGTACAAAAATCCAGTGGAGATGCGGGGTATCGATCCCCGTACCTCTCGCATGCTAAGCGAGCGCTCTACCATCTGAGCTACATCCCCTTTACGACTAGTTTCATTTATAAATTATAATATAAGTCAAAAAAACTGATGACGAAAATTGTATAATAAATCCCTGAAGGTTTAGAATTGAAACGTTGAGTTTGTTAGCTCAAAAGGTTTGTTCGGTGGCAAATAAGGTTTTTATTTAAATTTATTAGAAGTTATCTCTCATTCATATTACTTTCTGGTGTACGAGTAACAGTACGAGAAAATATTGAAAGTTAGAGTTGTCTATTATAAACTTATATTTTTAATCGAATCAACCAAATAACATGCATATATAGATATAAAATAAATCTAATCCCATTGGAAAAATATAAACTAGTCTTATTCAGACACAAACACTAATTCTAATATGAATATAATTTCATAATAGATAAGTCTAAATCTCTATAATTTCCAATAGAAAAGAAACAAGGAGAATGCACACAGAAAATTTTCGAAGACCATTTCGTGTCTTGAATTGCAGGTAAAGAGATCTGTTATTTCTTGATCACTTGATTCTAGTGTTCTCTTTCTCTCCGCTCCATTCCATTTGAAGACAGGACCCAAAAAAAAAGGAAGCAGAAACATCTTACCCATGTCTTGCCTTAATATGCTACTTTGTGTCTGAATGTGAATTTGGACAAAGTAGTTAGCTCGAGTAAAAATACCTCTTATATATATATATATATATATATATCACCGTTAATGACATAAAGATCGTTGTATAGAACTTCCACTGCAAGTGTAGCAAAACATTGCACAGAACAGAACCTGTCCATGAATCAATCAGAATTGGTACATGGAATGTTATTGCGGTTTGAATCAACATGAATGCAAATGGGCAATAACTCTTTAAGAATTCGGAAGAAGCCGGCCATTGTACATCTTGTCGAGTAGCTGACGAGCATCGGGCCTCCTAAGGAGACCTTTGTTGTTGGGTAAACCTGTGCCCAAACAAACAGGACACACCAGTTTGCCTCGACCTGTTGTTTGCCCACGCGGAAAAAGAAACACGGATTAGCCGCCGCGGAGAAATCCATACCCCTATTGCCAAACAGATCCGTTTGATGAACAAACCCAATAGAATAGCAAGAAAAGGAGCGAACGAACCGTAACAGTTTGGACATTCTGTAAACTCGTAGACGTCTTTAGCTCGTTTTCGGTTGAGAGCTTTCCATTTTCCTGTACCACCACACATATCACCTAAAATCATAAGACCAAAAAAGGAAGGAAATGAAACTTTATCCACCCATTTTAGCAAAAACCTTTCAAGAATGTTTTCCCGTTCTTTAAGAGTCCAGATATCTGATCAACCACCCCTTTTTTTTAATCATAAAACCCCAAAACATAAGATAATAAAGACCAAAAACTCCTAATCCATCATATAGTACATCTGAATGATTCACCAAATCTTCATGGATGGACTTTCAGACACTAAAACACGTCACAGTTTCGTAGTTACAACTTAGTATTTGGAGGGAAACAGCTTCTGAAGAAACACATGACAATAGCAGTAGTACAGTACAACTAAAGGTTGCTGAACATAGACTGACCAAAATGTATTATCTAACAACTAAAACTCATTCGGGATACTGTGAAAGGGATTTCAAGTCGGTGTTTATATCATTCCTCAGAAAGGGAATAAGTAAAAAACGAAGAAATACCACTCACAAAGAACGGCACCACTGCCAAGACAATTTCGGCATACAGCTCCTCGTGTTTTGTCTAAAGCCAGTGCCTTTGGTACAGACACAAAGGTGTAAGCATTGTTAATCAAGGCTGCAGATGAACACATACATGTCATCCACTGCCTTCTTGACATCCATGTTTGAGCCTCCTGAAGCAAGAAACCGAATCAGGTAAGAGTTACCGTTTAAGATAAATAAAAGAATTATAGAAAACAAACACTGTACATTGTGGATGTAAATTTTCGGGTTTACCAGAACATACGTTGTTGATGGATCTTTTGCTTGAAATAACAAATCAGACAAAATTCACTAAACTAAAATGCGGGTTAAGACCAAACAGAAGAATTCCATAAGGTTGCTGAACATAGACTGACCAAAATGTATTATCTAACAACTAAAACTCATTCGGGATACTGTGAAAGGGATTTCAAGTCGGTGTTTATATCATTCCTCAGAAAGGGAATAAGTAAAAAACGAAGAAATACCACTCACAAAGAACGGCACCACTGCCAAGACAATTTCGGCATACAGCTCCTCGTGTTTTGTCTAAAGCCAGTGCCTTTGGTACAGACACAAAGGTGTAAGCATTGTTAATCAAGGCTGCAGATGAACACATACATGTCATCCACTGCCTTCTTGACATCCATGTTTGAGCCTCCTGAAGCAAGAAACCGAATCAGGTAAGAGTTACCGTTTAAGATAAATAAAAGAATTATAGAAAACAAACACTGTACATTGTGGATGTAAATTTTCGGGTTTACCAGAACATACGTTGTTGATGGATCTTTTGCTTGAAATAACAAATCAGACAAAATTCACTAAACTAAAATGCGGGTTAAGACCAAACAGAAGAATTCCATAAGCTCCAAACCAAAACGATTCTGTAACAAAGGATGGTCTGAAACTTCTCCATTGCACGAGCTTTGAACAATGCCCGGAACATGAAAAAAATCAGAGGTTTACTACTTTATCAAACCTACATACTATGCTGAAACTACATATGGAAATTTTATTATCGATGAGGGCCTAGCCTGCACCAATCTCGCTTGGAATTTTCAGGTAACAACATACATCACTAGCCAATAAAAATGAGATACCGGACCAAGATAGACTGAAATGAACAAGCTTTCCAAGATATAAATCACGAACTCAAGTGAGATGAAATGGAATGCTCATACTTTAGTAGTGTAAACCGAAACATTGTGTCGGAAACTCAATCTTCACAACTAGTACAATAAATTTCTTTTCTTCCACAAAATCTTCAGAAATTTTCCTCTATGCTTTAAAGAACCAAATGACAAACGATAAGATTACATTGTAAAGCTTAAAAGAATCAAATGACACATAATTTCTTTTCTTCCACACAGTTTTCAGAAAATTTCGACTATGCAACTACAGAAGATTGGGTACCTTTCATATCAACGATAAGATTACAGAGTTCAATCCTACTCTATGGTGTGTGTTTTTTTTCTTCTCTAATTAAATTTTTCCACCAAAATTCAAAACGAAAACAAGATTTTCTGCGGAGAGAGTACAAAATCACACAAGCAAAAATCTCAGGAGGAATAGAACCAACGAGAATATTGCAAGGAGATGCCAGGTTTTGTTCTCTTATCGAGAACAGGGAAAAAGGGGACCTGGGTGTGGTCGGGATTCTCCGACGACGCATCGAAAATGTCCGAACTGGAATCCTCATTCTCCGGGCTCGATTTCGCCCGAACCCGAACCCGGTCCCTTCCACGATTCGAGTTTGCTGCATCGGACACAAACCAAGAGACGAGTGTTCAGCGAAATCCAGATACCTCACAGAGAGAGAGAGAGAGAGAGAGAGAGAGAGAGAGAGAGAGAGAGAGTACAAAGAAGTGGAGAAGCTCTGGGAAGACAACAAGGAAGTGCAGTGGGATGAGAGGCCAGGAAAGATGAGGCCGCCATTTCCATATATCTATCTCCTCCGCTCTGAAGAGATTTTGGCTACGTAAAGGCCTTATTCTTCCGACATATAAAAAAGGATAATTCCATTTAAAACTCTGTACTTTTCTCTCGTCTCAATTTAAACCCTTTACTTTTTTTTTATCTAAAAAAATATTGTATTTTTAAAAATTGGCAATTAAAACTCTATACTTTTAAAAATTGGCAAATAAAACCCTGAACAAAAAACAATATTATTTAATGCTGACATGACATCCTAGTCATCTGCCACATCATCAATCCCTAATATTTAATAATATTAATTAATAAAAAATAAAAATAAAATAATAAAAATAAAAATAAAATTTTAAAAATTATATATATTCATAAAAATTATACACATATATAAACATATTTATAAAAATTTTAAAATTATATACATATATAAATATATTTATATATACATATATACATATATACATATTTATATATATATCTATATAATACATACATATATATATGTATATATAAATATGTTTTATATGTATGTGTGATATATACATGCTTTTCTAAAAATCATATATATATGTGATATATGCATGATTTTTAGAAAAAAAATACATATACCATATATGCATATAAAACATATATATATATATGTATTATATATATGTGTGTATATATATAAATATGTTTATATATGTGTATATATGTATATCATTTCATTATATATGTATGTGTATAATTTTTAAAATTTTATTTTTATTATTATTATTATTTTATTTTTATTTTGTATTAATTAATATTATTAAATATTAGGGATTGATGATGTGGCAGATGATTAGGATGCCATGTCAGCATTAAATAATATATTTTTTCGTTCAGGGTTTTATTTGCCAATTTTTAAAAGTATAGAGTTTTAATTTCTAATTTTTAAAAGTACAATGTTTTTTTGGATAAAAAAAAAGTATATGGTTTAAATTGCGACGACAGAAAAGTACAGGGTTTTAAATGGAATTATTCCTATAAAAAAAATATAGTTTCTATTAGAATGGTTTGGATTGGTGGTTTGGTTTACTTTGGTTTATTTTGGTTAGGATTTATTAGGGTGTCTTCTTCTATTGTATTTAAAGAATATTAGGTATTTTTGGATCAATGAATAACCAGAAAGTTTCTTCTTTCTTCAACATTTCTTCTTCTTTCTCTCCATATTGTAATATCTTTTTTTTATTTTTGTCTGTACATTTCAACGGCTTTTGATGTTTTTATCAAAAGTTAATAGTTTCTAAAAATGTTTATTCCAGAAACAATTCCCGGGATGGATTCTCATAGTATTAATAATAACATTTTTATGCTTTAATGATTTATTAAAACTCAAGGGGTTAGGATGGTTGTAGTTTTTATTTTGAGATTTTTACTTTAGTTTTTGGTTTTTAGTTTTTGATTTTTTGTAATATTTATAAATAAAAGAAAACAGAGTTTTAGTTTTCAGTTAATGTTTTCACAAAATAGTTTTAAATTTTTTTAGAAAAATCAAATTACAGTATCTTGGATTGCCGATTATTATTTTTATGGTTTTTAGATTTTAAAAACTCTAAAAATCTCCACTATTCAACCCTAATATACCCAAATAAACTTGGTATTAATTAAGGTCTTGTTGTATAAAACTAAAGATAACAACTGGCATTCTTTGTTTAATATATATATATATATATATATAATTTATTATGATAAAATAAATCAAATTTTACCAAAAACTATTTGACCATATTCCCATTTTGGTTATTTTATTTTAATCCAAAATTTTATAAAAAAATTATCGTTCCCACTTTCTACAATGCAATTTTCCTAAAATTACCATCTGTAGTTCGACAATGCAATCAGAGATCATGCATTTAGATTTTACAGTAAATCAAATGTTAGATCTGAAAATGAAAATCCATGCTGAATTCTATTAAAAAATAATTAAAAATAATCTGTTATTTAAAAGGAATATTAAAGACATCAATATTAAAAAAACTAATTTTCATATACAAATCCAAATTCAAATAATTCAGGTAACCAAGTTTCGGGTTAAAAAATAAAAAGAAACAACACAATACAGTAAGAATATTGGAGCAACAGAGAATGGAAATGTAGTCATGGAAAGAAAATCTCCATCCGGTATCAAGAAGATCACTTAAGAGTGGGAAGAGGGAAAGGGGGGCAGCCTCAGGACGGCTTCAAAAAAAAAAAAAAAAGGGTTTACCAATAATGAATGTTAACCACGAGTCCACGACTACCTTATCTCAGCCTCTCGTGAGAGTCGGGTACCCAAAGGGTCGAGGGGCAATGCGGCAAAGCCTACGGAAAAAGCGACGGAGGCAACGTTAAGACCAAACTTGAAGTCAAATTTCGAAAACCCTACACCCAAAATCCCTATCCCTAATTTCTGAAACCTGCGGCCTCGCCTTTTCTCGGTCCATTCCCCTCTCCCACTCGCTCGGATACCCGTGGGACACAAGTAATCAATTTCCAGCCAAAACCCGACCTCAAACCCGAAAATCGGTTTTTGTCGGTGGACAAGCACTCGAAATTGAAGTCTCGGGAACCCGAACCCGTGCCAATCCCAACTTCCTCCATAAGCAAACATAGGAACCGGGCGATATGAATCCATCAAATATGCAAACCGACCACTTATAAGAACTTGGGAAAATCAACAGTTGAGGAACCTTATCCTTTGGAAGATTGATGCTTATTCTAAGTGATCTAGTTCTATGGAAACCATTAGGGTTTTGCAAACAACTGCATTCCTTCACAAACCGATGCAAGATTCACATCCCAGCAGAATAAAGAAGTAATTCCGGCTTTCTTTCTCCATGTTCATGATTGTTTAGGCAATGCCCATTGCTCTGTTCTTTTATTGGTAGAACATCAAACCTCTTTTCACTTCTCAGATAATCAAACCCACATTGAAAAGACAGACATTCGAAATCCAAAACAAAACCACTGATCTTTGGAAAAGGACACAAGAGGGCAATGCACGAGAGAAAGAGAGAGGTACTTACTGGGTCCTGAAGAACGGGCTTGGTGTCATCAATGGCGGGTCTGAAAGGGGGTTTCTGAGATTTATCGGCTCTCCGTTGAATCTGAAGAAATTTCACGGCCTCTGATTTCGCCGGAGTCTCTGCAACTTTTTCCATCGCTTCTCTTTCTACCGGAGATCCGTTCGCGAGGCAACTTAGGGTTCTTTATTCTGACTTGTGACGATACAACCTAAACCGACGTCGTCTTGAACCCATATGAAAAAAATTTTTTTTTTTTTTTTTTTTTTTTTTTTTTTTTTGTAAAAACAAAGCAAGTTTTTTCAGTTGTGTTCCCGCCAAAGTCGAATCCTGCACTGATCGAATCGGTTAAATTGTTCAACCGTATGGGAAATTCTTGGGCCAAGCCGGATATTTTCGCGTACTTCTTTGTGTTGAAGGATTATGGTCGATGTTCAATGATCAGAGAAGGCGAGACGGTGCATTCGATGGATTTGAAAGTGGATTTTTTATTCGGATAAGTATATCTAGAATTCCTGTTCTGCTTGCTCGCGGATCAAGTGTTCGATGAAACGTCTGATCTTTTTGTTGGAATCGAATGATCCGAAACTTTAATAAACCCCGGATCCGAAACTATGTGATTGCATATCGGGATTGAAATAAACTACATCAAAGATTCAGAAACCGAATTTGGAGTCATGATCGGAAGCGTAAACGGTTACGAGCTTCTGATTCTTCGTATACCTTAACCTCTTAATTCTTTGATGGGATAAGAATCAAGAACATGTAGAGAATTCTTAAGATTGGTTTGTTCAAAACCACATTGTATAGAGAATGAAGATTTGTGCACTATTTATAACCAAAAGAGAATGAAGAATGCATGAACATGCATTGACCAAGAACCGAAGGGTCATTCTTCTTCTCCATTAATCAATCAATTAAATAATTATTTAATTGATCAAGACTAATGCACATTCAAAGAATCTTCCATCTACATGAACCAAAACAAACCAAACTCTACATTAATCGGTACACGTGAACCAGAGACCATAACCAAAATCCTTATTCGGTATTATCCAATTTAGCCCATTATAAAATTGGATAATAACCGACCGGTATCTACGCATATATTAAACCCTATACTCGATTCAATACCGAAGTCCAATAGGTTAAAAACTAAAAACCTGGTCACATCTAATTGGACTTAACCGACATGACAAACCTTATTCCATAATAATCATATCCGGTCCACAATAAAAGTATAAAAAACCTTACAATACTCCCACTTGGACGGTATATGAACCGAAATTATAGAATAACCGAATGAGCGCTCTTTATGTTTTGTCACGATACCGGTATTGACCCAATCTCGTCCATCAAATGTACCAATGCAAAACCAAAGGAGTATAACCGCTTTTCAGACGCAGCTAGACCCTGATCACGTACATAGATACAAAAGAATGACATAGATCTGAGCATAGACGCGTAGCATAGAGATTCCACGCAAAGTGATCGACACGTGTCTATCTCTAACTGGTCCTCTTAATCGAGATCAATGATGTCGCAAATCTAGGTATATAAATTTCGATCAAGTGATAAATTCCTAGACTCAACAAATTCCGCAAGTGTACGGATCGATTGTAGTAGCTAGGGTCGAACACATGGACAAAAGTAGACAAAGAAATCAAATCCAAACCTAAGTCTAAATCCAGAGAAAATGATGTGGGTATGAGAGTATAGCAAAGCAAACGATAAAACGATTCTAAACTATGAACTTTACATGCAAGGATCTTTCAAAAGATACAAACTTAGTGGTTTATCTATCCAATTCAGGGAATTCAAGCTCTAAGGTAGAGATCAACTCTTCCAAGTCTAATCTCACTATCCAAGTGTAATCCTACCAATCTCCCGATTCGATAGTCTAAAACTCTGGATGCATGAACGAACGCTATCATGATACCTAGGCAAATACCCATCTTCCAATGTGATACATGTTCTATTTATTGAATTAGTTCTAGGTTAGAATCTCATATGTCTATGTG